TTATCAAAGGTGTAAGCATCACAGCAGATGCCTTTGTGTCAAAGTAGCTGAGGATAAAACACAGAAAAACATGAAGGTGATTTTCATGTTTGCGCTTTGTGTTTACGTCTTTGTGCAGAATCCGTGTACCTGCTCTCATTGACTGTTTTAGCTGTTTGGTGGTTGTTGAAATTTTGTGAGGTTTAACCTGAGATTCTGGCATTTCGGGCAAAATAAATTTATATTTAAAAATCGATTCAGGATTTTAATGAATCGATATCACGTTATCCAAGCGAGAATCGATTTTAATCGATAAATCAATCATCAAAACCCACCCCTAGTATTAAGCATGACATCCTGTCTGTGCTTTTCTAGATGACAACAAACTTGCTAGCAATGTAAGATCTTGACGACACTCACTGTCAGACACCCCCACTTTTAAAAAATATATATATATTATTATTATTAATTTTTTTTTTTCCTTTGCAACCTTACACAAACACACACATGCACATACATACATCCAACCTCTGCTGAGTGATTCTGGCTTAAGCCCCTTGCTAATAAAAAGCTCTGATTTCTGACAGCGGAGCTTTTTTAGGTACAGATAGATTAGCTTCTCAAAGCTTAGCCAGAAGAGATAATAGATGTTTTCCATTGGACATGTATGGGGGAGAGGGATTCTCAATATTTAATTTAATCTTCAACTTTCCCTGAGTGGGTGGGGTGTAACCTACAGTGTTTTGTTCTAGCTAGTGTGTTTGAAGGTCTGTCTGTGTAGTAATTAGAAAAGACACTAATTATCCATGTGCCTGTGGTAGATTGTTGGTTTTGGTAGTAAAAAAAAAAAAAGATAATTAGTATTTGGTCCGAAGATGCATATTTTAAAGCCTCATATAGTATTGAAGTCTAAAGATGATATTAAACACAGTATCACTAAATGTGTACATAAACATTTGACATTTAATTAATCAAACTAGGGTTTTTTTCCTAACAAATAAAATAAAATAAATTGTAAAGATTTGTTCCTTTTTGTCTTGTGGCTTTTGAAATTGTGATTTTAATTTTTTTTTACTATTTAATATAAATTGTAAAGGTATTCCCATTATTAGCCAATAGTCATGATGACTGACCTGTAGAAGGCATGAGACTTCTACTCTTTCCATTGGATTGGAATGTGCCAGGCAATGGGAGGTTTGTGTTTGAGGTTTCTGTTAAGATGAAGCTGATGACAAGTGATTGTTCAGCTCAAGTGTCTCTAAAAATCCTGCGTGTAACAATCCTGACTTTATGTTTATTATTTTTATATACATCCCTGTTCTGCCAAAATATGTCATATTCAGTTGCTGTCTATGTGTCTGTTCCCTCTGCCTGCTTCTGTCATTCTATAATTGTGGCACCTACTTTTCCTGTCTCTTTCAGAGATGCTTGTCTACAGCCAGTTCCCAACACTGGAGGATTTTTCTCTTGTTGTCTGCCATGTCTGCAGTAAGGTGGTCACTCCTCAGGGCATTCTCACACACTATGGTAAGCCACACACATACACAAACCCCTTAAGGCAAACTACACGGACATAAAACTTCAGGGCATAATCATACACTTGACTACGTTGCACGCACACGCTTGGGAGTATGGTGTTGTCCCACAAGAAGCCCGAAACAAACGTATGCATACATGGACACGCACACAGAGCGGTTTAGATCAATAAATAAATTCTGTGAATCCCTGCAAGGCACTTTCAAACATGACCTCCCTGCTACTTTCCCTCTGTGCAAATAGACATCATACAGTTTTGCCCTCTAACACTCAGCAGATGGATCAAAGCTATGATACACTAAATTATTTACAGAAACTGTGTATATGCATTTTTATCTAAAACAATAGGCACATGCACAAAAGATTTAATGGACATCTCCACTGTTAAAACAATAGTACTTCAAGACTACATGAGGCTCAAAAATACCTCCATATCTTACATGAAGTGAGTGTCTGGATCCAGACCATGATGCATACATCATATGTATCATAGCAACATGACGTATATACTGTGCTAAGCTGCATATGCTTCTTGCACAGGCAGGAAGCATGCGACCATAGCATGTGGTCGCTATGGAGACTGCAGCCCAATGAGAGTAGCTCACAAAGTTGCTCAGTTGTTGTTGTTATATTTATTAAATCAGATAGATAGATAGAACTTTATTAATCCCCCAGTAGGTTCCTCCGGGTAATTCAGTTTCCAGTAGCAGAACACTGACAGGAATTTGCATAGTAAATTAACTGTTGAAACTAACAAATTGAAAATAATTGTTAGTCTATTTTTTTTAAAACATTCTTGTTTGTTCAGACCTCATTGGCCCCTCACAATGTCCAACTACCTCTTGTTTGTTTTTGATTGTGGCTCTACTGAGCTCGCTCACATCTGCCCGTGAGCTGCTGCTTCCTTCTAGCCTGAGCTTTCTGTTTGTGCGGAAAGTGTGTGTGTGGGGGGGGGGCATGGTCACACTTAATATACACACACATACACTAACACACTTATTTCTTCCTATGAGTAGAGAGGCCTGTGAAGTTTCATGCACACACGCATTCTCACTTTCTGGTTCTCAGCAGAAAGAGGTCAGTGGTATTGTGAGACACACATGCACACACTCTCTCACAGACTCCTGGCAGCCAGTGTTGTTTTGTCCCTGCTCCTGCCCCCTGCAGGCCCCCTCCTCTCTCTCATTGGCAGCATTTCTACTTGCTGACACACACACGGTCGGGTGACAACAGGTCTGAAGCACACTCGTGCACACACACAAAAACACAACACACAGTCGAGAGTGGGAATCTCCTGAGAGCTCCCCTATAAAACAAAGTGATCCTCCAGGCCACAATACCATAATAGTCAGGCACCAAGCAGACCAGCAGGGCAGTTCACATACTGACTAGTTGGAGACTCTGGTTTTTGAGGAATTCAGTGTGGATTTCATCATGTACTTTTATTTTTAGTTTTGCAGTGACCTATAAGTCTTCCAGTTCAGTTACTGTAGTTGAGTCGCTTGCTGCATACCTAAAAAAGCTTTATATACACAACCGCTGTGTGTCATGGCGTGAAAAATCCTCTTCCTGACCTCTGTTGAGTAGATTGCCTCTAGGAGCTCACGCTGTCAGGATATTCTTATGATATTTTATGCATTTCCTCCCATTGTTGTAGATCCTAATCATGTCACTGCAGCATCCTCACAAGCACAGTGCCATTGTTCCCTGCCGGGGATTCTGCTTTAAATGTTTTGACCCTGTAGTAGTATCTTTTTTAGTCATCGCAGTTGCCTTGTATTTGATTTTGTGTGTATCCATCGTGGGATTAACTTTCATGCTTGACCTGTATATCAAAACGGCACTAAGGCCTTACATAAACCGAAATGCATGCACGTGCACACACACACTCATGCACAGAGAACGAGGAGGGGATTGGCTGCCTCAGGGGTCAGTGGCTCCTAGTTATACATGCCCAGTTTGCTGCTCATTTCTGATGTGTTTGAAGAGATAACTTAAAGCTAGAACGCACACTGAGTCTTGTGTGCTAAAAGGTTAACATATACTTTCTTTTATACATCAGAGGCTTGCTCTGTTTAGTGGATTTGTTTATTTAAATCTCCTTAGAGTAAAGCAAGCATGTATATTCTTAGCATAAATGGCCCAGTGGGATATCAGCTAAATCCCTTACTCTGGCAGTGTTAGCAGCATGTTCGCTCCAGTGAGTTTGTAAAGACAAAAATGTGCAAGGAAACAACATTTAATGCTTGTGAGTGAATCTTAAAGCTTTTCATAACCAGATCACGATGTTCATATGAACCCTTCCCAATGAAAAAAGTATGATTTCATAACTTTAGTCTTATAATCTTATAAATGTTATCTCTACAGTGTCTGTGGGCAATAGACGATATTTTGGCAACGACACTTGATTATCTTTGATCATGTGCCGATAAAAGTGCACGTGAACAGCAAAAAGGAAACACATGGGTGGGAAAATAATGGCGTTATCTGATTGTTTATCTGCATTCATATTTTGGCTCTTGCATTAACCTCCATGTGGAACAGGAAGTAAGTCTGGGCTAGATTATTTGTTGTCTCTGGTATGCCCTGCCAGTAATGCCACTATCATTAGCTGATTGATGACTATATTATGGTAATTATAGTTGTATAGTGTTTCTAACAGCATTTAATTTGCACCTCTGAGTCTTGAAAAGCATTCGAAACTACAAAATGCAAGAGTCACAACTACTTTAGTAACAAATGAGCTGTGCTTTTGAAGCCACGTCCCTAAATAAATCAGGTCTCCACAGTATGTTCAGATATTTCTTTTAATGCTCATTTCCTACCGTTTCCTCTCTTCACTCTTCTGAGCGTCTGTATTCTAACCTTGCTCCTGCTTGTGCCCTGCTGTGTGTGCTTTTGTGTGTCTGAGTGAGTTGAGTGCATGATGAAAAGGTTCATGTTGTTTCTGTTGGTTGCTTTACTCGCTTTCCAACTTTTCTCTGTAGTGGGGAATTAATTGAGCAGCAGATCACAACCATTTCTACCTTTAACAAGTGTTTTGGCCGCTTCTGTGTTTGACGTTGTTGTTGTTGTTAAAATGTGCATTCTCAGGCTGTGGCGCACATGTTATTTGGCTGATGTTGGAAAGTTTTGCCCTTAACCACAGATTTTCTGTTGAGTTTCGTTCACGCCACAGTTGTGGTATTGTTATTGTGGCTTGGCTGTATGCATGCTGTTAGCTGAGGTATGGGCCAATTAAAATGCCAACTGATAGTGTACATCTGAGGAAGTGTCTTCACATTTAATTTTTTTTTTTTTGTCTGCGCTTTAGAGAAGAGAAGGACATGGCTTTGATATATTTTTTAACATCATCTCAGATGCTAACAGAGACTTTTCTCAATAGTGAAGAGTTTTTCTATATACATATCTGTAGATACAGAAAGTGATACCCCCCCCAATAGCTGAAGGGCCCATTAGTGAGCAATTGACTTACCTCTTAATGCAAGAGAGAAGTGGCTCCCAATTTTTTTTATATTTACAGAATAAAAAATGTACATGAGTGTCTAACTGGCTGCAGTACTTAGTGTAGCAGTTAAGGTACTTTAATGCTGCTTCGCTACAATAAGAAGTAGAAGTTTAAAGTATAAAATGAACTTAAAAAAATCTAATGAGACAAGTAGCGCAACATTATGATAGCTAACTTAAATCATTCTTTGAAAACCAGCAGTGCAATCTAAGCTTTGGAACTACAGAAAATCATGCTCCATTTTTCTCTTCCTGTTAAACATAGAGGATGTGGCTGTCTCATTTGTAAAAGCTTCTGTTTGTAATGTCAGGAGTCAATGTGAGAACGGGCTTGGTGTGTTTGTCCAGGAGGCAGATAAACTGCAGGACTGATTTAAATTTTTAATCTAGAGGTAAAACTTGGCACATGTTAAATATACAAAACACTTGTTTGTCCATCTTCGAAGACAGACACTTGATCGTGTGCTGAAAAAATGTTCAGCTGTGGCATGTTCACCAGAATATTTGTTCCACAGTGATATTTTTTTCCTCCCAGGTTAGGCATCAGTCTATTTTTGTTGTTGTCGTTGTTGTTTCGTTGTTTTTTTCAGACTCTGTTTAGGGTTCAGATCAGCATCGACAATAAGAAATCTTTCCATCACTTGCTGTGACACTCAGTCTTTCTCACTGCTCTTTTCTTGTGTATTACTATGACAACCCATAACTTTGAGCTGCTGTTACCACTCTCTGATGCAATATAACTTTGTATCCATCATGCTTACTGCTTGTGATTGTGATATGTTTGAAACCATGCAAGTTCAGCCTCTGGTAGATGAAATATTTTTTAAAAATCCTTTAAAAAAAAAAAAAGGAAGTGTTTCTTCAGTATGTCAGTCTGTCCGTATTCCTGGGAACTTCTTCAGTAGGGGTATTTTTGGAAACATGCTCTGTATACATCCATAATGCCTTTTTTTTAAATTCACTGTTTATCCCAAACAACTTGCTCTTTTTAAAATTCCAAGTCCACTGCCTTTGACTCCAGCACACTCTGAGAATCTTCATCTGTATTTCAGATTTTTCTCATGCCATTCCTCTCTCTACTTCTATTCCCTGCTATTCCCTGCTCCTCTGTCAGTGTAAACAAACCCAGCTGAGCTCAGAGAACTTGTTTCCTCATCATCAGCTGGCTCCTCCCACAGGATGAGTCAAGAGCCTATCAGCAGCCATTGGGGCTCTCTGCATTGCCATAACAACCAGCAGGTTGAGTGTAGTAGGGAGGGTGCCCTTGTGGTCGAGTGGCTTAGTGACCTTGCCTGAGCACTCGCCCATGTATTGTACGGTAACTTAGTGTTATTAACTCTTAACTGACTCCTTACTCCCTGGATGAGTTCTGATATATAAAATATAAAATATATATCTGAGGCTGTTCTGGGGAGGGAAAAGTTGATCATTATGTCACATACAGCTATAAAAGATTTTAAAAGTCTTGCAACATTTTGTTAAAAATTATTTTTAAGTTCTATATCAGGTTATTTTGTTGTCTTATCATGAGCAAAAGCTATTTGTATAATATAGCAAATAAAATATAGTATACACATCGTATAAACCAGTTGAATCACAGAGTATTGGGGGTGTGTGGCTTGGCTGAATAATCACAAGAAATCTGATATCAGATTTCTTCAGATTTCTTTTACCTTTTTCATTCCTGGGAAAATAATACAATGCCTAAATCAGAGAATAACCCTGAATTAGACACAATTTTTTCCCATCTATTTCTGCAGCGCAGCCTCATCGAACTGTACAGTGGAGTTAACTACTTAATATAATGTAAAATAATGAGAGATTTAATGTGCAAAGTTTGCACTGTTGTAGGTGCATACCTGTGAATGTGTCGCTGGACTTTGATCCTAGTACTCTGAAGACAGCTGCCTCTGTGGAGGTCTGCCTCCACTGGCTTATTTACACACCTGCCACACGCACACACACCCACACATGCAAATTATGCTCTCACAAAGTAATGATAAAATATTTCACGGATGCCTGACTTTTGAAAACTTTATATTTGCCTCCACATCCGTGCCTCTGCACAGTAGTGTTTGCAAATGCGTATGAACAGGTATAGTTTCAGCTATTTAACAATGCTAGTGTTCATTTTTGATAAGCAGAAGGTAATGAGTCAAGTCACAGTAAAGCCTGCCAGTGATGGGATCTCAAACTATTGTCATCCCAAAATTAACATCAGCTTTTCTCCAGCTTATCTTTGAGCGAAGTCTTGCAGATGTTGGTTAACTTTAGTTAGCTCACTTGTAGAAGTGACGTGCCTTAAGGGAAACAGAAAAAGAGGATGGCATTCTACCTAATTTGTATACTCTACTAGCTATCCAAAGCGCCGTTTTACTGTTTCTGTCTTTTCCCTGCCTTGTGCTCAGTGCTCACGATATATTCAATCCTCTGTTTTCATTCAGGTAGCTGGGATATAGTTTCCCTGTGAGACAGACACAGAGACAGTCCTGGACCACACACCCCCACTCCCCCACCCACCCTGATCCCACAAAGACATGCATAGCAAAAACCGTAAGTGTGAGCTCCTCTCCTCTCCTCCGTGTTTCCTCCCTGCTGCTTTGTGATTTACTCCCGTCTATGTTTCCTTCTGTGTTCTCAGCATCTTACTTTTTTCCAACTCGTGTATTCTGATCAGATCTGGGTCAAAAATATTGTAATTGTTGGCTCTTGTGGTGGGGTGTGGGGGGGTCGGGGGTCATCACGAAAAGGACACTTCAGATGGTGTCAGGCATACTGCTAATTAGAGAAAAGCATCCTTTAGTTGATTGGAAATTTCTTTTTGTGGAGAAGTTCAGCCACAGATTTGCTCTCCCCTGTGTTACAACATAGCCATCTGGCAACTAAGCAGAGTAGAGTTGGTTTAAAAAGACTCTGTGCTAATTGAAGGCAAGTCACACTAGCAGTGCATGCTCTTGTTGGTCTGTCTTGATTGTCATAATGTGTTTATGATTATTTTTATTATTCATATTTTTGTCATGCATGAATAAGAGCTTTTTTTTCTTTCTTTCTTTTGGGCTTGATCTGTTTTAGAGAAGCAGCACAGCTCCCCAGTCCCCTCCAGGAGTCCTTTTTTGGCCATGAAGCCCAAAGCATCCACAGTGTCTCCCGCTGTGGCTCCCAGTCCTGGGGAGACACTGGCGTTCAGGATACCTAAAGATTACCCTCACTCCCGCTTCAGCAAGGCTCCACTTGCTGTGTACCCGCCCAAGGGGGCGCGGAACAAGACCTGGTGCGTGCACAATACGATAACATTGTTACTAAGTCCGATGAAATCCCACATTTTATTCATTAATTGCAAAAAAAAGTTGTCTGCAACTCTCTTCCCACTATTCTCCAGCGTGTCGCTGCCAGTCGTAAGCCTGGAGAAGATGCCGTGCCTAAGCCGAGGCGACTCAGCGACACACGTGCGCCTCACATCTTCCTCTTCCTCCCCTTCCTCGCATAAGCCTTCATCCCTCACTACCCAGGCCTCCCAGCGATCGAGCGAAAAGCTCACAAATGGTCGTGGCAGCAGCGGACCATCCACGCCGCGATCCATCACGCCTCCATCCTCTCTAGATAAGCGGCCCAGTCCAGCTCGCTCCCCGCTGGACAGAAGGGCGGCATCAACGCCGTCTCCCTCCCCGCTGGATCGGAAATCCTCCCTGTCACCCTCACCTTCTCACCGAGCTGTTGCTCTCCCAGCTTTGCCATCAGTGTCACCGTTGGAGAAGAAGCAACAGAATGGAACTAAGACTCCCTCCAGGAGTCACAAAAGACTTTCAGGTTAGCACTTTCTTTCTTTTTTTTTTTCTTTTTTTTAGGAAGGGGGGGGGAATCCAGCAGAAGTCTTACTGCATGTCTGTTTCACTGTGACATATTGAGTCATTTTCCTTCCTGCCTTTTTTATGGTTGATTTAGGATTTCAGTCCATCAGCCTGCAGCTCAAGAAACTGATTCTTGACGCTTTAGACGATTGACATTCCTGTGCTGCAAGAGTTACATAATTCAGCCTTTGCCCATTTAATTCCTACTGAGCTTTACATTAGAATTCCTACATTACCGCACACTTGCACCCAGATAAGCTCGTGCACCTTTTCCTCAGTATTCTTTTGACAGCTTCCAGCCTGAGTGTTTAGCGGCACACTGGTCAGCAGCGTGTGAAACTGTGAGCTTCGGAATTGGTCAGACACCTCCCTACATTTAATGGATTTCTCTCTCCTTTATTTTTTCCTTTCTTGTTATTCACTGCTTGCCTGCCGATCTCAGCTTTCTTACTAATTCTCACTCCCAAACTTTTTTACTTTCATATTCACATTTATGCGCAAGTTAACTGACTGGATCATTCTGTATAAGAAGGGGTGAAAACACATGTGGCTGGAAAGTTAAAGATTTCCTATTGATATTTCAGGGTTTGGGTTTTTTTTTTTGTGTCGCATCTCTCTATGCTGCTTTTCCTTCTCTTCCTCTTTTCCTGTCACTAGTCTTTCTCTCAGTTTGCACCAAGTGCCTCTATGCTCTGAGCCTCTGATTTACACCCTCTAATTCACGAGCTCTTACTGCCAAAAAGCTGCTTGTCTTCTTGAGAGATTTTCCCCACCTCCTGTGTGTCTACATTTTTTTTTCCATCCTCTCACTCTACACCGCCTGCCTCTCAACCTCCTTGTTTCCTCCTCTCTCTCTTTCACAAGCTCATGCTCTATCCTAATTTTTATTTCGCAGGCTCCCGGCTGCATCTTTTTCTCTCTGCACGTCACTCGTCTTGTTTCTTGCTCTTCTTGACCTTCTGCTTTTGGTGTTGTTTGGTTTGTCTTGCTCAGGTTCTGTTCACAGCGATCATCTTCCTTTCTCTGTCTCGCTTTCTCTCTCTCTCTCTCTCTCTCACTCACTTCTTTTTATCAAGTTTGTAAGAACTGAGGGAGCGTGCATGTGAGTTTGTTTATGTCTGAGTGCGTGTTTGTTGCTCTGGATATATCCACTGGAGCTGCTGTCTCATACTGCAAACACAGAACGATTACAGGGATTATAGGAAAGGCCAGCACAAGATTACAGCCCTGTGATAGTAACACTGTTCAAGATAACCTGCTGACTGGAGGCTGCTGTTTATTTGCAAGTCTGTGTGGAGGAAGAAAGGTCTGTCTGTCTGCAAATGTAGGCCGAGTAGAGAACTAACTGCTTTTTCTGTCTTTTTTTTTCTTTCTAAATGTCAAACCCAACTTAAATAGTTAGGTTTGACATTTCAAGTTGACAAATAATAGAACACTAATTGAAAGGCTGATTTAAATTTATTAATTCCAAAAATAAAATTCTGTTTTGCAGTTCAAGACTCACGCGCTCATCAATTAAGCATATCTGTGTAATTGATGCCATTAACAAGTAAAATCATTTGTCGGGTACTTTTTTTTTGTGTGTGTGTGTTGTGTCTCTAATGTTGTCATCCCAGGCACACTGCTTTTTGTTTTTGAAGGGCTGCCAGTCAGAGAAAGTTGACTTCAAAGGTGAGGAGCCAAATCAGCTATTTTGGCTGTAATAATAGGAATGAAACCAGAGAGAAAATTAGTATAATTAACTTTTTGGACATCAAGTGGGTAAACAACAAAGACAGAGACTGTTAAAAATGTTAAAACTCAAGCCAGAAGAAACTGCTGTTATGATAAGGAGCTGAGTCCTCATCATAACTGGCAGCCCCTCACAAACTACATATATGTATTTCATCCACTCTTACTAGAGTCATTTCATCATATACATTTTAATATTATTCCTACAACATACATCAGAGACTCGGGTAAGAAATTGGCCTTAAATTTTAGGGGTGGAGATCATTAACAAGTGCAAATTTTCCCCTCTGGATACAGTTCGTTAAGGCTGGAGAGAGTGTGCTCGGCTGTCAGTCACTAGTGACTCTTGTAAGGCTGACAGCATGTCGTGTCAAGAATAATTTGTCACAGTATGAAGAGTCTTCCTTTGTTTGTTTGTTTTTTGTTTGATTCTGGAAGGACTGCTAATAATGTCACATAGACTGGTGCTATTAGAGTAGCCTCAGACCACAACTGAATGATCAAATGAATATAGCAACATGTGAACAGACAAATGTGAGCGAGGACGCGAGTGAACTGCTGTCTCAGAAGAGGAAAATTGATTTGCTCGTGGCGTTGCAGCGCTCCCACTCCCATCAAATGTGATTTGATACTCGAAGGAAGGAAGGAAGAAATTACCAGATGACTCTAGTGTGTGTTTCTGTGTTGTGTTTGTTTTTGCAGGGAGAGTGTTTGATCCCAACAAGCACTGCGGAGTGCAGGACCCCGAGACCAAACGACCCTGCACACGGTCTCTCACCTGCAAGGTAATGCAAATAAACGCACAAGTGCAGGGTTACCCACACTCTCAACCTCTGCGTGCTTTCTGTGGAGATAATAGTAACGTCTGACCCTCCTGCTTTTTGTCTGACCACAATTTCTGAGAGTAATAGCGTTAAAGGGCACATTAATGTCGCTACTGAAAGACGCCGACCACAACTATGATCATATCTAGCTCTCTGGCTGCCTCTCTTGTGTGTACACCCTTTCTCAGTTAATGCTGGGGTAGCATTGCTCAGGCATTACAGGGCCTACACTTCCCCTGATGAGGTAATTATAGATGTTGGATGAGGCTAAAACATCTTAAGAAGTAATACTCTATTTTACTGCCCTATAATTACCTCTGCTGAGCTTTACTAATCACTGCAAACTGGTTAAGTAATTAAAGATGTATCAGGCTAATTTGTTGCCATTTTTTCATGTGGGAGTGGTTTGTCAAAGTAATCTTGTTCAGATCTACTATGTCCAGCATCGCTAGACACATAGCATTTTGTCTTGATAAGCTAGAGGGCAGATTGCCAAACTATCCACAAAACAAACCAAAAAAACACCAAACATATTTACAACATGTAAAATTTAATATCGATGGTTTTCTGCTGTTTATGAAGCATCCGAGGCTGTAAAAATTTGTGAATGTGTCCAGTATGGGCTGATGAGTCACTGGAGCTCATTTCAGATCAATGATGGTGATCTTGTCAGCGTTACAAAAAATAATGTTAAAATGGATTTTAATGTTGTCACACTCAGGCAATTGGCAAATAAACTCTCACACAATGTGAGAATGTAATCAAACTGTTGATCAGAGGGACATTGGCTTTTAACCAGGCAGCTCAGTGTCAGCTATCTGGAGGCAGGAACGTCACATGTCTAATCTGGAATAATCGAATCAGGAATAAATAGGCATGTTTATGGACATTTTCTGATGTTAGAGTCCTGATTTCAGGTCAGGATGAAGCTTTGGGTGACAAGGAAGAGGATGAGGTGGAGATGGGGGAGGAAAGTGCAGTGGTCATGGTGGATCTTTAAATTAAATTTAACTTATATTTGACACTTGACAGTGTTCAGATTTCCCCTTTCTTTCTGAATTCAGCATTACTTCAAACTTCAGAAAACCCTAATATATCACCATAATTTCGACTAGCACGCCAAACACTGGCATCTTGTTCAGTTTTTAAAAGTTTTATTTTCTTTCAAATGTGTATTCAATAGTCAGGATAGTTAGAAATGTGATACATAAACCTTTGGGACCTTGTGGTTAAAGATGCACAGACCTTGGCTGCTCCCTTTGAATAAGTGCAGGAAGTATTTTTCTTTCCAAACGCAGGCCTGGCAGTCTAAAGCAACCTCTCTGCCTTGTTTGGTAAATATCTATTGGAAAACCAAATGTTTGATGGCTGGTTACCTTCCAAAGTACCTGGAACGGTATATAGGCACAGGTAATATTTACCCGTGTTTGTGTGGTGTGACGTAGACACATACAGTGTGAGGTTATGGAAACTATCATGAAACCAAAGAGTCGTGTCTTGAGCCTCTCTCAATGCAGCATTCAATCCCAGTGAAGTGTGTTTGTGGTACAGTCTGTTCTTCACAGATCAATATTTTCATTTACAAAGTCTCTCTGGAAATAACCCAGTATTTCTAAACGGTCAGAGGAATAAAAGAATAAAATAATTGTTTTGTTTTGTTTTGTTTTTTTTCCATTTGCTGCAGACTCACTCTTTAACCCACCGGCGGGCTGTCCCTGGCCGAAGGAAACATTTTGACATCCTCCTGGCTGAACACAAGGGGCGGGCGAAGGAGAAGGATGGAGTGAAAGAAAAGGATAAGGACAAGGACGGAGCGCAGGGAGGGAAGGAAGGCTCCAGCCAGAGTATTATATCTAAAGAGAGCTCGTCTCCCAGCAAGTCTCACTGCCCCAATGGACGACCTCTCTCCACATTGAAGCTGCGGCTGGCAAATGCACACATACCAAGGTACAAAGGATGTGAAAAGTATTAAATATGCAAATAATAAAAGCTTTAGGAATCTAATCAGCTTTAAAAATGAGGAGTGTGTTTCAGGAGCATTGTATATTATAATGCCTACTTTATATAGTTTTCTATGTACTTCTGCCATTTTTATGTTGTTAAACTTTGGCTACTGAAGTTAAACTGCTCTTTTAGAGAAAGGGAATGCTTTCTAAACAGAAATAATGGCTTATTTATTTTAGTCTTAAGTATGTTTACTTGTCATTTTGAGAAGATTGTGTTCACTTGCATACTTGAGCATTTTTTCTTCAGACAGATGCACCCTTTTCCACCAGGGGATGCTATAGACACAGTTTGCTAGAAGTGAGCAAGCAGAAAAATCACCCTATGTCAAATTGTTGTGAAAAACGTATATCCTGTTTCTATTTAGAGCACAAAACCCTTCTTTAAAAATGAACTTAGCTTCCTTTTTCCTTCTTTCTTTGTTTACACTCTTCGTCTTCTGCATTCACATTTAAAATTTCCCTTTCACGGCTCCTGTTCTGTCTCTTTTCTTTAATTTTTGTTTTTCTGTCCCATATGTTTCCAGTTCTTTAATCCTTAACCCACTTTGTCTCATTACTTTATTCACCCCTTTGTCCCAGGGTTCCAGGAGGCTCCTCCACTTCCACCTCAGGTCCTCTGCTCACGGTAGCATCTCCTGTCCAGGCCCCTAACCCAGAACCAGCTCCCCACAGCTGGGTGACCGCTGCTGGAGAAAGCAGTCGACTTTCCAGCGACGAGGGCGATGCAGATCCAGAGGATGCTGACAGACCTGCTGTTCACTACTCCAGTCATCACCCGCAGCCTTTAGGGGTAAAATAGAAGGACCCAGTAATGCTGCACTATCATGCATTTTCTTATTCCATAACCTCAGGGCGTTCAGTAACCAATTCACAAAAGTTTTAGTCATCCTATCTCCTATTTTATCCCTGCAGGGTCTGCTTTTATATGTCATTTAGCGGAAATATTTTTGTTCCAGTTCAGCCTCAGGTGTAGCTTAATAGTATGTGTTAAAGGAAAAGTTTGCTATTTTGGAAAAGAGATTGTGATCTATGTTAAATGGTTGATCTCACACTCTTACCCAGTTTGTATTATCCTTAGAGCTAGAGCAATGAGCCAGCGTGAAGCAGGGGTCTCAAACTCACGGCCCACGTCACCACTATGTGGGTCCCATATATTGACGTGAAGAAATATAATGTTATTTGGCCCTTGAAGTTTAGGGAATTTGTTTGTTGTTGAGTGCAGTGTTGAAATAGGTTCTTTTAAAAGCAAAAAGTTATTTAATATGAAGGCAATATGAGCAGACAGTACAAACATGATGAGCAAATGGCTGTGTTAGTTCAGGGAGAGAGTTATTTGTAAAGAAAACAATTTTGAGTTTTTTCTTGTTATACAATATTTGAAATTAAAAAAAAACCCCACTACATTTTTGGAAATATTTGTGGGTGTTTTCTCCAATTAGGTGACAGTGCCAGCAGTAGCCCGCAACTCATTTAAGTTTGAGACCCCTGGCATAAAGATTAGAAATAAGACCTTTAAATAAAGTGTGTTGCCATTTTTTTGCACCACCGTTTTTGTACAGGCGCACATGCAGGTTGTGTATAGGCTCATTGGTAGGGAGTATTAATTTGCTGAAGTTATGCTGACATTGGAAGTTTGCCAGGCATGTGCTTTTGTTCCTTTTAAAATGGCGAGTACTAAGTGCCCATAATATTATTAAAATATATGGAAAGCTGATGCAGACATGTTTTTTACTCCTAAAGTCTGCATTTTACTAAATTTAAAGAAATGCTTGATTATTATAGTTCTTCAAGTCAGAGCTCTCACTTCATAGTCAGTTTTGACCTGAGCGGTTAGATTAATGGGAGGTTCTAAAAGTTACCATTATCCATAAAAATTGTACACTGTACTGTATATTTCCTGTTAAAAGTTCCAGTTATATTTTTTATTTGCTCAAATTCTAAAAATATTTTAACATTGTTTTTCTCTTAAGCATCTGTTCTTCTTCATCTATGGAATTTTTTACATATGGACTCTTGTCTAATTCACTTTGAGACATTACCCAACCTACGTAGACATGAAAACACAAATATCTGATGTAATTTTATCTAAAATTACATTATTTTTAATGAACACCACCTTTTTAGTCTTTATGATACCTGATGGCCAGAATTCACGCCCTTTGCCCTGCCTTGAATGCGTTGTATCCAGTTAGCACCTTCGCCTAAACCAAAAGAATTATTTCCTGGATTGAGAACAAATCTGAACCAGACTGCCTCCTGCTCTGAGCTCAGTATCAGAAAGGACAACTTGGTGCAGTGTCCCAACCTAATTCCCCTGATGTTGTCCAGAGCTGATGTGTGAAAACAGCTTATCTCTTTGGTTCCATCATTTGATGCCTCTTTTACTGCTTTTTACTCCTCCACTCTTCTTCTTTTCAGAATCGTTCGCCTTGCCTCCTTTATGATTCTTTCATAACATTCTCACCTGAGCTGTCTTCTTTCTCCCTCTTACAGTTTTGCGTATTCAGCAGCAGGCTGATGGGAAGAGGCCACTATGTGTTTGACAGGCGATGGGACAGGATGAGGCTGGCACTCCAAAACATGGTGGAGAAACACCTCAACGCCCAGATGTGGAGGCGAGTGTATTCTTTGATTATTCTACTACCATATTTTGCTTAAAGGTTAATAGGTATGGGTGAGAAATGGTAAAGATGAGCAAAATGTAATGTTTTAATGGAAAGATGTGAGAGGAAGGGATGAACTCATCAGCTGTGGAAAACAGATTCAAATTCTGTTAAATTTTTTAGACGGGAAGGTTTTTTTGTTTTGTTTTTTAAACAATAGAAGGTGAAAAAAAATCACACATGAAGCCTGTAAGTTTTTAATCAAAGATCAAAACTAGCAACAATCGAGGGGGGAAAAAAGAACAGGTTTGCATGCAGTTAATGATTGCACAATCACAATAGATAAATAATTTCTGAGTTTTAATCGTGGGAAGTAAAGTAAAAATAGCCGAGGAGGCTGATGAAATGAGGGGAAGACACTAAAATGAGCTTAGAAAACCATTGTTCAGTAAAATACTGCATATTGATTGTTACTTAAGGTCTCCTACAAGCTATTCTGGCAGTAAAACAACTTTATTGGTACATTTCTCTTTTGTAAGATTCTCTTCTTCATGTTTCAGGAAGGTGCCTCTGGCTGCAGAGAGCCTCCTCTCCCCATCTGGTACATCCTCCATACCTTCACATCAAGCCCCTTCTCCCACCTCTTGTCTGCTCAACTCCCTCTCGTACACCGCCACGTTTCCTCAGTCTGCATCCACAGCTGGGGTGTTTAACATCCGAGACTCCCCGCAACCCCATACCCAAGTCTTCGCGCAGGGCAAAGCCCGTAACGGCACGCATAAAGCAAGTCGTCCATCCAAAGACGTGGAGGAACCCGTAGCGGGAACTAAGAAGAGAAAAAAAACGTCCTACTCTTCCTCCTCATTTTCCTCTTCTTCCTTGTTTCCCACTGTGGATAATTACAAAAGGAACGACAGGAGCTTTCATTCACAGTTACAAAGCTCGGGAGGGACAGCTGCCTCCCCAGCCAAGAAAAAGGGACTTGGTCATGGGGATAGCGAACTTTGGAGAAGCTCAGAGGGCTGGCTATCTAAAGCTGATGGCCCTCAAAGCCACATATCGCAAAACAGGTGAGTCCCCAGTAAAATGTAAAAAAAAAAAAAGTTTCATTAAGAGGCCACAATTTTGAAAACTTGTAAAAACTGTACTTTGATATTTAACTTTAGAAGTAAATGTTTTATTTCCCAAAAATATTTGATTATACCTACATGTTATGCCATTAAATTCTCTTTTAGAGGATAACAAGTCATGATTGTAGTCAGAGGGAATGCAGACTTAGTTCAACATATTGTATATTCATATAACATGTAATATACTTATTGTGTATGTAGACACAACATACTGTTTTCCTTCTTTTGCTTCTCTCCAGTCGTGAACTTGGCAGCACCAGTATACCCTACTCACCTAACAGGGAACCAACCTCAGCTGCCCACCAACCAATGGCTCCTCCCACAGGACCCTTAGCTTATGGGGGAGGAGCAGAAGGGAGGAAGAGGCGAAGTCCCAGCTCCTACAGAGGAAAGGGCAACAAGCTGAGCAGACTGGGTGGGTTAGATAGCCTCTTTGGGAATGGAAGCGATAGCGGGGGGATACTAGCTTCAGGGCCTGAATCCCCAAGACAGGTAAGCAGTCATCTACTACCTGGAATATATTTTAGTGTGCTGAGTTTTGAATTCTCAAGGAAGTCTGATAGTCAGCTAAGAGCTGGTGTGTAGGAGACCTTCAGCATTTATTACAAGAAGCTCCAGTCATTGACCCATGGTCAACAGCAAAGACATACTTCACCATTCAGTGGTGAATAGATGAGCAGGTGAAGTTTGCGCAGTTGTTATGTGACCACTTAAAATCAGGTGGTCCTTGAAATAGTGAGAGATATAAGTTACAGTGATGACAGCTGAGCAAATTCAGTTCCATCTTGTTTTTGAATGACAGTAGATGCAGTTTTGTGCAAAAGCACAAAAGAAGTGTCAGGCCTAAAAACTCTCTATAACATCTGAGCAGTGTCTGAAAGTCATGTCCTTAAGAAACAGGAAAAGCAAAAACCCAGCAAAGACCTGACACAGGACCTGAGAGATGCATTTGGCTCTTCTGTTGATCCACCTCTTGTTCACTGAAGCCTCATCTGAAATGGTCTCAGTGGAAGGGCTGCCTTGTTAGAATTATACAACTTGTTTTTTTGTCTTATATACAGCATTACATATTCAAGTGTTTTGCAAATATTTCAATTCATTGCTGTACCTCTTTCCCATTTTCCTAAAATAAAATAATAAGAATAAAGGTAAAAAGGTATGAGGGGTGGTTCAATACTCTGTATGCGTGGTCAAAATTTTGTTTATTCTAATTATTTTCAGAAATTGGGAGACCCACCAGTTTAGGTGATGTTCTCTGTAAATCTGAGTGTCACGCCTAGGTTTGTCACTCTTTGATGCATTAGACTTGGATTTTGGTTCATTGTCCTGAGGGGATGATCCTAGACTTTTCCTCTACCACTGTCACCGCCTCTACTAAAACATAAACTGTTGCAGATTTTGATTAATGAACAAAAGTTGCAAGCTAATAAGTGATTTTTAAATATATGCTTATTATTAAATTGGTATCATCATTAGCTCTCAAGAATGAATGACTGTGTTGTGCAAATAAATTAATAAATTACAAATTAAACTTCCATCTGCTGTGAAACTGCTGCTTTACAGGCAAGAAATTAAAATCACTTGACAAGTGTGCGTTTTTCTCCACAGGCCAAGTTGCATCACTGACAGAAACCTGTTTAATGGACAGAATGTTGGGCAGCTGTTCAGGCCACCACCGTTTGTGACCTTTGACCTCACCGCTCTTCCAGTTCCAGCACCAATCAGACTGCTTCATCATGTCACATCTGTTTTATCCAAAAACAGTTCAGTTCACCTGCTGTGACAGCGGGACTCTGAAGTCTTTGCCCACAGTTGGCTGGCAGTGGCTTCCACCACTTATCCCTCAGTACGGATCATTTTGATGGAAAGCTGCTCCGCGCCGTTGTGGTCTTTACAGAACAGGATTTTAAAAACCTTTTATCCTCCTGATAAGGGAATTTTAAGGCACTGTTAATGACACCACCACTGTTGACTTTTGCAGGGGGATAACCAGAGTTTATTTTCAGAAATCTGAGTGGAAAGATAACTATGATTTCTTTGGGGGAGTTTGATGTTTAAAGGACCTACTGACACGGCTACTGTAGGACTCAGACTTCAGCTATGCCACCTCAGTGGCTCCACCCCTTTTTTGTGTTTCTCTATTTTTTATTTGTATTTTTTTCTTTTCCTTTTGCTTTAAAAAGAGATGAGCTGGGTTTTATCCAGCATTTACCTCTTCTTTAACCCCTTTCTTTCTGTACCAAATAACGTTGTCCATTTCTCTATTTACTGTCCCCCTGCCCCCCAATGCTCCCTGCTCATCCCAGCATGCCTGTGTTCAAAGTGCACTTACTGCCCTCAGTTCACCTTCCTTCCTTGTTCGCTGATTCCAGAGCCATCTCCAGCAGTGCCACACAAGAACCTGTTCAGACAAGGGAAGAAGAAGACATCTGTGTTACCAACAACGCCACATCAATGCATTGTATTTCAATATAGGAAGAAGTCAGATTTAACTTAAGAATGTTTTTGTATTTTTTTCCCCTTCGTCCTGGTTTAAACATTGCAAGAAACTCCTGGACTTGCATCCAAAAATGGAATTATTGTTATTAATATTAAGGTGTTGGATGGCGCTTTTTTTGTATAATAATTTATCATTCTTTTGTTTTTGTTTTTGACCTTTGAGGGTTTGAGTTTTTTTTTTTTCAGCAAAAAAAAAAGATTTCTATGTCATTTTGAAGAAATGTTGAAAGTATTATTATAGTTCATATTATTAAAAATGTGTACATATCTGTTCTTATTTTTGTATTTATTCATAATTGTCCCCTTTTCCCAATTATGAGGTAGGAGAGAGGGTATTTTTTAGCTTTCCTGTCTCTTTGTCTCTGTTTATTAACGATAATGAGCTCGGCCTGGTTTCTCAAAACATTCAATAATTAGATCGTTAGTTAATAATCACACAAACCAATTTGAGCCATGGCTGCTGTCTATGTTTACTGTCATCAATAGGAAACAATACATCCTTTTTCTGTTCTTTTTAAATTTCTAATATTAGTTTTAAATAATTATTGTAGTCTGACAGAAATCTTGATCTCTGAAACTTTAGAACCATATCCCACATGTTGTTTCTCATACTACAAATTATGTGTATACACTTTAGATGCAGTACTGTGCAAGCATTTAAGGCTCTAAAAGGAAAGTGAAGTAGTTTGGTTCTACTGTGTTCTCGTTTAGATCCTCCTTTGTCCTGTCAGGAGATAATAGGCCCGGAGGTCACAATTATTTCATAATTATTTCTTACTATTGCAAGACAAAAGGCTGGTTAGGTTTTGTTTTGTGAAACCAGGCCCTTATTTGTATTTTCATATAAAGGGGCACCATTTTCCCAATTTCCTGTGGGTTCACCCTTTTTCATACTTCTTCCAGTGTTCAAAACTATAGCTATATTTTTAAACTATCTTTATCTTCCAAGGCCGGTCGGCCTCATCTCAGTGCGATTACGCTTGGTTTGTTGTGTTATGTCGAGTCAGAACTGGGTCAAAATGTATCCGCTTGCTTCACAGCTGCCCAGCTCAAGCTAGGTACCGTTTCTTCTCCGGTAGCTCTGTAGTCATTCCTTTGAGCCCTCGGTGTCTTTTATTAGATGCAGCATCAGGTGTAAAAATGCAGTGCTGATTTAAAAAGACAACACTTACATTTGAAGGGAAACTATATGCTTTTGTTTTCTATAGCACTGTGTGCCACAGGTTAAAGGTTTCAAGTGTTACAAAGTTTAACTGAGGATGTCAAAAAAGTCGATCAGAAAATGTGAAGAGATTTTTCTTATTTCAAAGGGGATCTCCTATGCTTGCTTCAATTAATAATTCAGATTTTCCTCATACTGACTTTTAGCTCCTCCCTTTGAGCCAGTTTTCATTTGATTGGTGGCCCTTCCCAACTGCATAAGTAGAAAAAAAAAACTGTCTAAAATGGATTATATCAGTCTAAGGCTCAAACTTTTGGCTTACAAAGATTACTTGTTAATACTAGACTTTGACAGCTAATGGAGAAAGGCATAACAGGTCCCTTTTGAAGTGCAGCAGATGTCGTAATGGGTCAAAAAACAAACGGCATAAACCTTTAAAATGTCAGAGAAGTACCCCCCTCTTTCATTCGTTGCTGCTGACGATAGAGCTAACATAACTGAAAGCATTTAAATTTGCTGTTTAAGCAGCGTGACTCTCAGAAATGCACTCGCCTGGTACTTGCCAACTGCTTCAGTGGAAACTAACTCTTTTTGGACTCATTGGTTGTTTTGTTTAAGCACTAATGATGATTGAATTGTACATAATCATTTGTATTTGTGTTACGTTTTTCCAAGTACTCAAAGTGCTTCCCGTGACTGTCCATCAGCGCGTGAGATTGTCTACCAGTTTAGATCAGTTTAATAGAACCTGCATGGTAGGCTTTGTTTCGCTGTAGATACACATGGTTTAACTGGGTACTGGCTGTGTACAGTTAAATGGCTAACATCCCTTTTATGACAAGATAAACAAATCTTTTAATTTTTCTTCAGTTTTCTTTGCTGTGCTCACACGTTTAAATCAACAGACGTTTAATAACAGATCAACGCATACATTGCTAAAGCGATGGTCGATACTTCTTTTTTTGGTGTTATTTACTGGTTACAGATCTTGGTATCATTGGATAGATTTCGGTTTTCTCACGCAGTACCTTCTCACATGTATCTGCTGATCAAAGATCAAGTGTTTGTTGGGGAAAAGAAGCCAACCTGAGTTACTGGTTGAAGAAATAGAAATGGGAAGTTACGGTCTGTTGCAGCTAAAATGAAGACAAGGCTCATGGTTGCTGATTTCAGAGCGGTTGTATATTGTCTTTGCTGTTAAAGTTTGTTTTGTTTTTTTAAACCCTCCCTGTTTCTTTTCTTTCTTTCTTTTTTCCTGTTTTGCACTTTGTCATTTTGCCCAGATCTTTAATTACTTTCTATTTATATAAATATTTTAGATATTAAAAAAAATCTTTATATTTGTGATAGTGTTTCTGGCAACTCCATTAAAAGAAGATGAAGAGTATATTGTTGGTCAGTTGGCCCCCTAAACCAGCGCACTGTTGTTATTATCCGATCCAAACTGTGGTGAATGTTGAATGTCTGAAAAATGCCTTGTTAAGATTTTGGGGGTTTTATTCAGTCTTACTGCAGTTGTTTTAGAAAATGGATTTTCCACCAATACAACTTAACACATGCCACATGCTATAAAAAAAAAAAAAAAAAAAAAAGGTCTTGTATCCAAGCTTTTATTAAATGATTGAAAGTGGATTTGTGTTGTTTGTAAATCAAATTTGCAGCTTTTGAATTGTAAAGAAAGTCTCACAGCTCTTTATTACAGCTTTGTTTTTTACCTTCTGAAAGTATCTCTCTTTATCGTTGATGTCTGACATATTTTTGAATTGCTGGAGGCGAGCAAATGCCTCTTATGTGGTTACCGGCATTTCACAAGGAAGCTTTTTATATTTTGTAAAGTGCAACATTTTGGTACATTTTAATGCTTTTATCTTACCAGGTCAATCTGCAACTGTACAGCATAACTGTTTTCTTTCTGTCTTGCAATGTTTAACTTTTTAAATATGTAGCAGCAGTAATGGTAATTATAGGAATCAGCTTACCACTTTAGTCCATCTGAACAGTTTTACATACAAAGATCTATCCCACTGAATGGGGTGATCTCCCGATCTTGTTTTCTGTGTGTTGTCTTTTCATGAAATTTCATGACAAATTATCAGATAAGTTGCCTTTACTGTTATTTACTGTTCTATGACTTTCCAATTAGCCTAGGCTTTTTGTTTAGGCAAGTATAAGAACCATCTCCAAAAAAGTTGACTAACTAAAAGAGAATTAATGCAAGTGATTGCCTTACTGTTTTCACAAGTTAAATAATTTATTACATGCTGTGAAGTTGTGAAAAACAAACTAGACCCCCTTTCTGGTTTCACATATCAGGATATCTTTTACATTAACAGATTCTAAAATGGTTTAAATACAACCACAGTTGATATCTTTCACCCTTCACAGTTATTTTACATTAACTGAGAGCTTGAACTTTCAGCCTTTGTGTTGTAGGTTTTCTGCTGTGCTTGGATTCATTGTCATGTAGCATAATGATGTTTCACCCAAGCTTTAGCTATAAGACAAATGACCTCTCATTTCACTTTAGAATAATTTGGTGCACAGAGTTGTTCATGGTTGGCTCAATGACTGCAAAAAATCCCAGTCATGTGGCCCAAATCATCTCCCTTACACCACCATGCTTCACAGTCGGTATGAGGTGTTCGTGCTTTTACGCTTTGTTTTTCTACAAATGTTGTGTTATTCATTATGGCCAAACATCAGCACTTTGATCTTGTCTGTCCGAACGACATTGTTCCAGAAGTCTAGTCTTTCAGAAGTCATACTGCCGTGTTCTTTTTAGAGAGAAGAGGCTTTCTCCTGGCAGCACTTCCAAACAAGCCGAACCTGTACAGCCTTTTTCTAATTGTACTGGCATTAACTTTAACCTTTAACATGGTCTCAGGTGAAGCTCTTGAGTTTTGTGCACTGACCTTGGGGGGAATTTGTTTGGATCTCTACTCCTCGGAAGATTGGCAACTGTCTTGAATGTCTTGCATTTGTGAATAATCTTTCTCACTGTAGAATGATGGACCTCAAATATTTGGAAATGTTCTTCCAACTCTTTCCAGACTGATGGGTAGCAACAATTGATTTTCTTTGCATTGTGTTAACATACACCTGAGTGATTCAGGTTCATTTGATTACAGCACCTGGCTGTTTCTTACCTTCTTCACT